GGTGGTAAGTTTCAAGTTGACATGATTATTGCCTTGTTACCAAACTCGTTCGACTCTGTTAGAGTGAACTAAATAAGGAATCAGTTTGAGTTCACACTTGCTGATATTCTTATAGAATTGGTAACAGATGAAGGGATAATCAAGAGTTTGGGCGTTCCTATCAATCTAACCTAGTCTATACCATCTTCTTCTAGGCCCAAGTGGATGGGCAAAGTAAAGAAGAAGGATGATAAATAGGACTAGGCTAGCACAAAACATAGGTATCTAAAAGGTTAAAGGGAATAAGGCAGTGTATGTTGAGGGCGAATGAAACTGTTTCTTTTGCCGTTAACTAAAACACTATAGGACGAAATGTCTAAGCAATGACGTGGCATAGGAAAATATATATTTAATCATTGAGCCATGTTATGTGGTTGCATCTATTAATTCCAGATGGATAGATTCTAGAGCCACTAAACATGTTTGCAATTCATCGTAAGGATTTCAGGAATCCAGAAGCCTTGATGATATGGATATATATTTATCTTTTGACCTGATGCCAAGGTTGTAGTTAGGTCAGTGGAAGTATTACATCTGAAATTAGAGAGTATGAGGATATTAGTATTAGAGAACTATCTTTATGCACAGAAGTTAGACGCAATCTAATTTTTGTTTCACTTGTGGTTTATAAAAACTGTGTTGTTATTTTGTAAAACTGGTTTTATAAAATTGAATAGATATGCTATTGCTTCTGGTGCATTGAAAGATGGTTAATATACTATAATCACAAACTCTTAAGATTTGCAGGATGTAAAAACTAATGTTGCATCTTCTAGATTGAATGTTAAGAGAAAAATTGTTATTCCTGACTCATTGTATTTTTAATGTCTATTTTTGGGTTGTTATCAATCAAAATAAATTCAAAGATTGGTCAAAGAAGGTTAATTACCTAGTGAGGCAGGGGAGCCTAAACCAAACTTGTGAACCCTGTTTTGAAGGATAGATAACTCTTAGGGCTTAATCAGCCAGATGAAATAGACATAAAGGACAATTGGAGTCGGTACACACTGACACGCGTGGTCTTATGAACATCCAAGCAAGATTACTCACGTTTTGGATAAGTTTATCTGATGCAACACAAGTCTTAAACTCTTGGTATATTCTGAGAAGGTTAAGACTGATGTGGAGCACATATTAGGTAAACTTATCAAGACACTTCGATCTGATCGAGGATATGAGTATTTCTTGGGATAGTGCAAAGACTATATAGTCAATGAGGGTATTATGTACCAGTTTTTCGCAATTGACGCTAAATGCATTTAGGTGTCAAATAGGAATAACAGAATTCCACTTAACATGGTTAGATCTATGATTAGTTATGCCACATTATCTCTTTCATTTAAGAGTTTAGCGTTAATGACATCGATGCGCATTATGAACTGCATTCCATCTTAGTCTGTCTCAAGGATACCATTGAGCTGTGTTTTTGACTAAATCTTAGTTTGAATCACATGCACGTATGGGGTAGTCTTGCACATGTGCGTTTGATATGGACAAGTAAGTTGGAAGCAAATCATAGGCATGCTAGATTTGATAGCTACTCTTAAGTCACTAGGATGGATTATTTTATGATCTCAAAGATAAAAGTTGATTGTTTACACTCACTGTTTATCTATAGGAGAATCATATTATGAATCACACACTTAGTAACATAATGTTAGAGAATATGGTATGAGTACCAGATGTACCACATGTGAACACACTTATTATAGAGATTGAGAATAATATATGAATTCTCTATTGATGCGTCAGCATCATCTAGTACACAGATTTCTGCATCGGTACATTAATGTAGTGGGAGGATTATCATCCAACCGACAGAATCATGTTTTTAGGTGAGACCATTATGGACATCCCTGTTAAACATGAGTTGGGCCCAGTAAGCTACACGGAAGTGTGAGCCGATATGGATACAGATCGTTTTGGCGAGTTACTATGAAATCAGAGTTGGAATCTATGTATTCTAATAAATTCTGGGATCTTGTAGAACTTTCTAGTAGGGTGATACCTATGGAAGGTAAGTTAATCTACAAAAAGATACCAGAAGATTTCTTAGTGAATAAATCATGAGTGTACAAGGGAATGTCATTATTTTTCTTAATTCTATATATTGATGACATCCTACTCATTTATAATGACGTGGAAGTTTTGTCATCAATAAAAAGGTAGTTGTTCAATTACTTTTAAATGAAGGATTTTCAAGATGTAAGCTATATTCCTAGGATCAAGCTTTTGCAAGATCAGGTTAAAAGGAAAATAGGCTTATCTTAATAATCCTACATTGATAAAGTTTTGACCAGGTTTGGTATGCATAACTCAAAGAATGAGTTCTTGCTTTATTGATATGGATTGCTCTCTCTAGTAAGTAGTTTTTTAAGACTATCAAAGGAGATTGAGCAAATGAGACTGGAACAATATGCTTCGGCATATGAGAGTCTCATATATGCCATGGTCTATACCAAACGGGACATCCGCTACATAGTAGGGATAGTCAGTAGAGATCAGTCCAATACTGGACTTGACAACTAGTCTGTTGTGAAAAATATCATTAAGTACCTAAGGAGAATCAATGATATCATACTCATTTATGGATGTGATGATATGGTCCTAGTCAGGTATGCTAGTTCTGATTTTCAATCAGAAGTAGATACTATGAGGTTCATGACTTAGTGTATGTTCACTTAATGGAAGGGAAATCAGTTGGTAGATTGTTAAGCAGATTTCAACTGCTGACTCAAACCTGCAGGTGGAATATATTGCAGCCTTAAAGGCGGCAAAAGAAGCCTATTGGTTTGATCTCACTGATTTAGAGGTTGTGGAGCATACTAGCCTGCCTATCGAGCTATATTGCGACAATAGTGCAGAAGTAGTCCAAACCAATGACCCAAGGTTCCATATATGAACAAAATACACTGATAGGAAGTATCATGTTCTACATGATATTGTCCGGCAAGAAAATGTACTTGTGGCTAGAACATTGCATTGGAACATAACTTTGTTGATCCCTTAACAAAGGTGTCGTCGATCAATAGTTTTGATCAACACCTGGATAACATTGGAGTTAGGTGCAATTTGAATTGCCTATGAGGGCAAGTGGGAGCTGTTGGGATTTTATATGCCCTGGCATAGCAAATTCCTGTTTGGATTAAAGTGACATATGTTCCTGACGTTTATGAAATATTTATGTTTTATACAATTGGTGAATTCAATGTATTATATTTCGATTCATTATAGAATTGATAGTGTCCATTTGATTACAAGAGATATTTATATATATGTTTGTGATGGCAATCAATGCATGATATATAAATAGTAATCATAAATGGTTCATAGTCGGTAATTATGGATGGACTCATAATTAATTAAGATTTGAACTGGATCCGCGTTAGGTTGAGATATATTGCGAGAGCCGTCGTATGCAATTGCTCCCTATCACCGTCATGGCATTTGCCTCTTAAGTATGAGAAAATTATAGACTCTTTTATTAATTAATAATTACTTTGATTTGTTCGGCGAATTCTTCGGGATCCTTAGACCAACACTTTGGTTAGTTATGTAATTAATAGTTAGAGGGTTATATTTTCAATGTTTGCATCTTTGCTACTTGTATTTATTTTGTATTGATTATGGTTAATCACAAAGTAAATTCGAAGGCTTTTGTGTATTTTTAGACAAAATGATTTATTATATATTTATTTATTTAAATTATTATTTTTGTCAAACAAATGTTTTATTGTGATCGAGCCAGAAATAATTAGTGGTACCAAAATAAATATATTAATTAAGTAGTCGGATTGATGGCTTTATTTATCCGATAACTAATTATGCATAGAGGGGTCAAAATGTAATATTGACTTAGATGTTATTTATTATTTAATTGGAGTTCAATTAATTTCTTTTAGTAGAGTAGAAATTAATTTATGAATTAATTAAATTGGGTCCATGGACCGGGCCAATTATTAATTCATTGTAGCCAATAAAATAATAGGCCCAATGGATTCTCACTCATAGCCCAACTTGATATTGGAATCATATTAGATTTGAGACATATGAATTAGAGATTGAGAAGGATTTGTTATTTCCTTTTCTTTATTTTTATGTTGCCTATAAATATACATGGCCTATGTATATTTTAGGGGTGATTTTTATGAAAAGGAAAAAGGAATAAATTTTCTCTCTCTAGAAAATTAGGGTCAGTGTTCTCATCTAATGGAGGCTCCCACAAGCCTAATTTTTCAAGGTCATTCATGGAGGCTTATGAGTGATTCTTAAAGGCAAGACCATTACCAAGAAGATGGAGATCCATGGAAAAGGTGTCTAGCAAAAGAAATTTACAATAAGTGAGAATATTCACTTTAGAGGAGAGATCTAAGGTTTACTCAAACCTTGATGTAAGTATTTAATTTTTTAATTGAATGATACATCATGTTTTATTTTTGCATAAAACTTGTCTCTATGTAATGAATCAAGATTTATGAATTAAAATCCCTCGAAAAGTTTTTAAAATTAACACGTTTCCCAACATGATTCTAATGCGTCGCTGAGGATAGTGAGTATAGAGCTTGGAAGTAAAAGATTAAAAGGCAGGCTTTCTAAAGACTTGGTTGGTTTATTACACTTGAGAACTCTCAATCTTTCACAGAACTTTTTTAGCTATTCTCTTCCGGTAGAACTGTTCCAATTAGAGAATTTAGAGATCCTTGACTTGAGTTCTAATTGACTTAAAGTTCTAATTGGTTCTCTGGATCCTTACCAAAGAATATTAATCTACCTTCACTTAGATTCCTTGATATATCAAAAAACTCATTAGTTGGTACAATCAATGAGGGCATTTGTAAATCAGCAAAAGGACTGCAAGTTCTTGATCTCTCCTTGAACTATTACTACGGAGAAATTCCAGTGAATTTAGGGAATTGTAGTCACTTAAGAGCTTCTGTCTCTCAGTTCAAACTTTCTTGTAGGAAACTTCCCAGAAGATCTCATGCGTCTACCAAAGTTGAGTTTAATACATCTTCAGGATAACAAGCTTTCTGGAAGTTTGAGTTCTGGTTTCGGAAACTTCTCAAATCTTATTAAATTGGATCTCTCTTTCAATGGGTTTTCAGGAACTATCCCAAATGCTTTCCAGAACCTTGTAAATCTGAAACAATTTTCTGCCATCTCCAATGGATTTATTGGTCATCTACCACCCTCATTAACCCATTCTCCCAGCATTTCATCACTTAATCTTAACAATAATTCTCTCACTGGCCCAATTGTTATCAACTGCTCAGCTATGGTTTGTTTAACCTTCCTTGATATGGGCTCTAATCAATTTGATGGACCTATTCCTGATAATCTCCATTCTTGTCAGCAGTTGAGTAGATTGAATCTTGCCTGAAATAATCTTGGCGGCCAGTTACCTGACAGCTTCAAGAAGTTCGAGTCCCTCACTGGCTTGCCACTTTCTAAAACTGGCCTTCACAATTTATCAGCAGCTCTAGCGATTCTACAACATTGCAGAAACTTGACCACTTTAGTTCTTACCTCTTAACTTTCATGATGGAAGTGATTCCTGCTGATTTTGACCCACAATTCAACAACTTGAGGACTCTTACAATCGCAAATTGTCAGCTCACTGGATCGGTTCCAACCTGGTTGAGTGGCTGCAACAATCTTGCCTGAGTTTGTGAATTTGAAAGTAGTCCATGTGTTGGATCTAAAGAACAACAATCTATCAGGACATATTCCAGCTACTTTATCAGAGATGAAAAACTTGGAGACTTAGGAAGCATATCATCTTCACTAGTGAATCTCAGCTTTCTTTCAAAATTCAGCATTGCTCACAATTAACTCACTGGAATAGTCCCTTCTGGAGGTCAATTTCATACATTTCCAGATTCAAGTTTTGAGGGGAATTACGGTCAGTGTAGATCATTCTCTTCTTCTTGTTCCGCTGAGACCCCAAAAGGTCCTCAAAAAATTGCATCTAAATCACCAGAAGAATCAAAAGATTCTATTGTTGCAGGCTTTGTCATCACCGTCGCCATCTGCTTGTGTTTTTGTTTGAAGTGATGAGAAAGCACATTCGCATATCCAAGCCTAGTTTAACCCGTTAATAATATATGACAAGTCATATAAGACAGATTTGCTACTCTTCTTACTTTAAGAGCTGAAATCTAAATATCAAGTTTGTTGCTGAATAAATAAAATCTTGGGTATTTTATGTTCTGTTTTTTTTCATAATTGGTATGTGTTTCTTCAGATGCTATAAAAGCAAAATTTTCTTATCATCCAAAGGTTAACAAGGCTGCTAGAAATTATAGTCTTCAAGAAACATTTCATATTTCCTTTCCTCTTTTAGCAGCTCCTTTAAATTCTTACTAGGGAAATTCTAGTCATAAAGTAATATTGTGGATGTAACTTAGACCCTAAAACCTCAATAATAGATTTTCTTGGCTCTAATTGTCTTCACCACCATTCTGCTTTATGTCTAGTTCCCAACCATAATTAAGCAATGGAGGTAACCACCACTTGTATTCAGCAGGCTTCTTGGACCACCAATTATTATTATTATTTTTTCTTTTGAAATTCTGACTTAACAAGCAAAATTATAAAGCTAAAATTATGTTAATACAAATTGTAATTACACACTGTGAGAAAAATAAAATAAAATAAAATAAGCTACAAAGAAGAAGAAGCAGTGGCAATAAATAAATACATAGAAATATCAAACTCTCACACTCCACTTTAATCAAACAAAAGGGAAGACCACCACTCGGTCAAACACTAAGATCGTCTCCCTTAAAGCCTTATTGTTCCTACTACCTTTTATTAAAATAATTTTAAGTATTTTTCCTTATTATGCTTGACACTCATAATATTAATTTTCTTCAGTTTTAATTGAATCGGTTTGTTCTTACTCAAAATTATTCTTTTCATGCAATTATGTTACAATATGAAATGTGTAGTTGAATGACCTTTCATTTTTAGTCCAGCATATATACATCTCACATTCACAACTTATTTTTCAATATGAATTTATATATTTCTATTTTAAAGACCGAAAAGATGAGTAAAATTTTACAATAAAGGTTCAACTCACCAAATTATTGTTGGGATATGTTTCAAAATATTTTTATAATAATTATATATATATATAAATATAATATAATATTTTTTATCTCTAATATATATATTTTTAATTAGTTTATCTTAAAGTAATAATTAGTTTTACCTAAGGAAATATTACGAAGCCTTATTCTAAATATAAATAATAAAAATAAATATAAACAATTATATATTTAAATTTAATAATCCATCATTTTATTTCACAACAGTAGTTTTGATATTTATAATCACTTTCTTTTCACTTTCATACTATTCAAACTAACAAACTAATATAACAAATTAATATTTTTCTATAATTTTCTTAGACAAATTTTTATGTAACCAAATGCATGGATTGATAATTTTACTGGTCCAGTGAAGCCCAAGCAGCTTGGACCTATATAATACCCAGCCCAGAAGAGTCCCAATTGAAAGCAGTGCAGTGTGAAGTCAGCCCAAAGTAGAATTGAATCTGCAGTTAGCGAACGACGAAACAGCCGTTATGCATACTGTACAAATCAGTTTCGGTGGTTAGGGTTTGGAGCAATTGATTAATCAACGAATAAAGGGATGAATCATTGTGGATGAAATGACTGACCTTGTTATTCTGAAAGCATATGAGTTAATGGACCATTTGCAAGCCAGGAAGCACTCCAAAATCTTGTGGATGATCCATCACCAATAATGTGCTTGATAAACTTCTTTGCAAGTGGCCTGAGTTGCAACATTTTCCATGACTCAGGAATTTTCAGCTCCCAGAAGATGGTATTGTTGATCAGGTACAGGTGAGACCATTGACCCCATAGCCATATTCTTTGTTGATCTCCACAAAATAATTCCCATATGTGTTTCATATTTAAATGCTTTGTTTAGAGCTGCCAAATTTGGAAGCCCAAGCCCACCTGCTCTTTTAGGCCTACACATCAAGCTGCAAGCCACCTTTGCCCCTGATTGTTTTAGGACAGTTCCAGACCAGAAGGACCTTCTTACTTCTTAGGATGAAGTCGGGCTCAATGATGACATTTTGACCAATATAGGCGTATGGATTTTAGGACAGACCTAATAAGCTGCAACCTGCCATCTAAGTTGGTAAATATTCTGATCGATTCGTGACACAACATTATAGTTATTAGAGTAACTTGAAGCTAGTTTCATGAAAAATCCATTAGCATAGTTATTATGAGAATTATTCTTCCTATTGGGAGCCCCACCAAACTTACTGTTGGTGACCCTATTCGCGGCACACAGTGTCCCTCCCAAAAGCCCTCTTTGCTTGCACAGAGAAGGGCTTTTCTATCTCCATTAATATCTTCCAAGATCCAAGAACTCAAAAAAATTGTTGGAAAAATCAAAGAAAACCCAGAAATGGGTTCCAACCATAGACGTAAAACCGGGATTAATCTCCCAGCTGCAATGTTCCAGTCCTCATTATGCCTCGAACCCTCTTCAGGTCCTTTGATTCAGAGCATATCGAATCTCCAATCACCCAGGATGATATAACCCTTATCTCATGTCATTGGTTTTATTGTGCAAAATTGGACCTCCATGACATTTTTCTTGAACTCTAATGGTAATTTGGGTTGGTAAAATTGAATAAAAATATTCCATAAATCTGTGTGTTAATTCCATTATTTTTACCCAGTGGAAAAGAGACAAGGGGCGAGTTTTGACAAAGCTTACCATATTGATTTAACGTTTTAATTGTTCAAGAAAAAGAGGGTGTGACATCGAATTGTTAATGTGGTTCCTTAAATAGAAAAGAGGTACGTGGTAAGTTCCAATGGAACTTGCCATGTTAGACTACAATATTAATAAATATTCCACCTTGGAATATTTAAATTATGGAAATTAAAAGATAAGTGGCGAGTCCCTTTAGGACTTACCAAATTTAGGATATAATGTCTTAAAAGGAAAAGAAAACGGCGTGGAGTTATTATCATAAGAAGGTTAAAGTTAGTCAATTAATAATTTATAGACACATGGCGAGCTTTATTAAACTTGCCACGATGGATTAATTTTGTTAAAGTTGAATTTGTCCGGAAGATCCTATTTTAGTAGGATACCAATTAAATAAAAGTTGACTAAGTCATTGGGACGTGGAGGCAACCTTCTCCTTATTTTTAGGAGATTTCAACAACGGTTCAGTTAAGTCAACTTCTGTTTAGCGAAACGTGGGATTTAATTTATACATATATATATTAGGCTTAAACCCACGATAAAGGAATCACCGTGAGAAGGGAGTCCATGAAGCCATGAAGTCTAAATCCAGAGGAAGTTAAGGTTGAAGAGAAGTTACTAAAATTAAGGAAGAGAGCAATAACCATAACCCACGATGTAAACTCGGTGACCATGACGCCATGAAAGGTTCAGCCTAAAATCAAGGAAACCGTGGTCTATGAAAGGAAAAGAAGTGGGTTGGATATTAATCCACGATGGAGGAGTTCCTAAAATCTAGGAGGCCATGGCCCATGAACTCTAAACTTCAGAAGGAAAGTCTCAAGATGGAAGTTATGCACGATGACGAGTTTTATCAGAAGTTGGAAACCATGACGCCATGTAAGGAAGGTTCTAGCATAAGTGAAGGATTACTAGAAATCATGGGACACTTGGTTAAACAGGAATATATTGGTTGAAAGTGGTGGAAACCTATAAGGAAACTACCATTAACCAAGGGAAGTTATCAAGGGTCATGGGTAATAGGGCAGCAGTTGATGAAATCATGTCTGAAGTTAAGGAAAGGAGTTGACAACGTGAGGAAGAAGAATAAAATCATGGGACACTTGCCAAGTCATGAAGAGAACACGTGGAAATCATTTTGAAACTACCCATGACGCAAATTCATTGAAGACTAGAGAGTACGTGGTTGAAGTCTATAATAGAAGATGGTTAAGATGGGAGAAGTTACAACCGTTGAGGAATCATGGGACATGTGGCAGTCCGGAACTATTCCACGTGGAAGCTGCTGAAGCTGTCACACCAAGTTGCTGCATACATGGAGAATTCTATAAATAGAACACTTAAGCTTCACTTGCAAACCCTGTACAAATCACACAGCAAAACAACACTTCAATTCCTTACATTCATGTATTTTTACATTCATGTAATGCAATTTCATTATGTTTAATTCAAGTCCTGCACTTATCTTTCTTACTTTCCAAGTCCTGCACTTCAATTCCTTTACTTTGAAGTCCTGCACTTTCGAAACTGCTTTCCTTTCCACTAGCCATAGTTCAGTCCGAAAATCCTTTTTCAAGGCAAAAAGAACCCTTGAAGGTGGTAATTCTAGTCCTTCATTCAATCGCCTGATCCTTGCAATTTCCTACTGGATAGTTGTTCGGATACTCACTTTAGAACGACAGCAGTTCCTGGCATGCCCGACATCCACTCCTACTTTCCACTCACCTGGAAAGTGGAACTAGCGCTTTTCCGCGAGCCGAATATTCTTGGCACGCCCGGCGGGACATCTTAACAGATTGTTCAATGGCCGGTGGAAGAAGGCAAGACAAGTTTGTCCAAGACCTTGCCGAACTAGAAGAGATGCAAATTAGTGAACTTCTAGTGGAAAGTTCACGATTCGCACCTGATGAAAATGATATGGTGGAAAAATTTGCTCAAACAATGGCAAATGGACCCATCATGGACAACATTCGCATGATGGCAATGCAGCAAGATAGGTTTGCGTAAGACCAAGCTAAAGTCGCTCAAGACTTAGCCAGAGTTGCTTAAGACCAATCTAAAGCTGTTCTTTCTCAAGACCGGAAGTTAGAAGAAATGGTAGACCGAATCTCTCAAAGGTTCGAGTCTATGTTGGAAAGGTCTTTTGGAGGTCTGTCTCAAATTTTGGCCCCTCGGCCAAGCAACTCTGAAGGGTCTCAACAGTCGGCCTTCCAAGCTAGTAGGCCGGCCACATTTGTTGAAGGGAGTTCCTCTCAACAACATGCAGGGCCACTCCCTCCAAATAAGCAGCAGGTCTGCCTCCCTTCCAATGGCACAGACTTACATTCCAGTTGTACCTGTGACTGCTCTAGTGGTACAGATGACTGTTCCACAAGTTGCGCCCATGCCAACCATTCAACAAGTTCAGAATCCTCCACCTGTGGCATTTCCACAGCAGACTTGGCATGATCAGCCTGGCCAACCATGGCCATACCACAATCCTCAAGCACAACAGAATGTTTTACCTGTGAACATTCAACCAGCCGTACCTGTTCCAGCAAGGCCACCACCTATGGTCATTCCAATGGCGGTTGGGGGGTAACTTTTTCCAAGGGCACCACTTCTTAACCGATGAGGAAGGAACCGTGGTAGGAACAACTATGCAGATGCCAACCCCTTGCTTATGGCGGGTGGGGGGCATCAAGTGGCCAATCAACCTCAAAGTTGGCCAAACAACAACCCTCCACCACCTATGGCACTTGACAGAGGCCAATTTGCAGAATTCCTTCAACAGGAATTTAGCCTAACTCGGAGGGGTGGAAGGCCAACTTACAGAAAGCCCTATCCAGAGTTCATTGATGAAGTTGAATTTCCAAGGAATTTCAGAATTCCAGAGTTTACAACATTCAATGGAGAGGGCGAACAGTCTACCTTGGAACATATCAGTCGGTTCACTGTCCATTGTGGAGAAGCAGTAGCCAATCCATGGCTGAAGGTACGCTTGTTTCCAAATATACTAACTGGGTATGCTTTCAGGTGGTATTGCAACTTGCCAACCAACTCTATTCAAAGTTGGCAGCAATTTGAGGATTTATTCCATACTCAGTTCTATAGAGCTGAGCTTGAAGTGTCAATGGCAGACCTTTCTAGACTTCATCAACTACCTGGAGAGTCTGTGATGAGCTTCCTTTCAAGATTCAGGCAGGCCAAGTTCAAATGTAATTTGTCTTTGCCGCCAGAAGAATACGTGAAGATGGCTGTGAACGGCCTAGAATTTGAACTTCGCAAGAAGTTTGAAGGTGTATAGTTCTATGACTTGTTCAACTTGGCTAGCAAAGTGGCTAAGTATGAAGAGCTCCTTCGTGAGGAGCAAGATAGGAAGAACTCTTCCAAGGGCACCTACTATCGTGATCCTAACTATGAGGTGTATACCACTGAAACTGAAGGAGACTTTGAAGTCAACGTAGCCGAGCTCAACATAAAGAAGGCTTACACTTGTGAGGCCTTGACAAAACTGAAATCAACCACGGCCAACTTGCAAGCCGCCTCTGGTTCCAAATGGAAGGGGGCAGATTCTTCTAGAAGTTACTTTTTTGACATTTCTAAAGCCGAGATTTGCTCGTGGCTGACAAGCAATTGATTTTCACAGCGGGCTATAAGATGCCGTCGGCTTCAGAAATGGCCGAGAAGGAGTATTGCAAGTTCCACAATTCGTGTAAGCATTCCACTAATAATTGTGTTATCTTCCGCAACATTGTGCAAAAGGCAATCGAAGATGGCCGTTTGAAGTTTCCAGAAAAATCAGAAGTCATGGGTGTTGATGGAAATCCTTTCCCCAAGGTTGTTGCAACAAACGTTGCTTCCATGGTTCCGGAGCATTCCAAAAAGGAGGTGGACTTGGTAAATCCAGCGACCAGTGGAATGCTGGAAATTCCAAAAGCGGCAACATCCATGGAGAAAAGCAGTGGCCGAGTTGGAAAGGCAACTACGCGAGGCTCAGATAGCCTTAATCCAACAAGGTTGTTGTCCTAAATGTAAAGTTCAGAATGAAGTTTGCCGTAAAGATTTTCCAAAAGAGAAGCAGAATGAAAAGCCCTCCAATAGTGACCGGGGTCAGAAAAGGAAAGTCCATGACCGACTAACTTTCCAAAAGGTGGAAAACACAGTTACTGTAACCATTCCAGAGAAGGAAAGCCGGGTTCATCCAGAAAGAAAGACGGTAGAGAGGAAATCTGAGATACTTCTAAAGAATTTGGAAAAAAGTAGAGTTTCCTATCAGCCAGGTTCTCGTCCTCCTAGCAGAAAGTTTGAAAGTAGTAGATGGCAAGACAGAGGTTCTGAAGGTGACAGGTATTCTAGGGCAAAAATGGCCTCGGAAGTATGGGTTAGAAGGGGGAGTGAGCATCTCCGACCAAGAATGGTTAGACCTCCTACCTATCAAGATGAGGGATGGAGAAGGCTTGATCATCCCAAGTTTCCCATTCATGATGATTCCTATATGACCCACACACAAAAGCAAAGGCAGTAAAGGAAGAGGGTTGATAGAAGAAGGTTATGGGAGAAAGACTATGGCTGGTCCAGTTCGCCAAAGAAGACTACTAGGCCGTCAGATTTATCAGAGCTTCTAGTTAGAGGAAATGAGAGATATTCTGATGATTTGTTAGATCTTGATTCAGAGGTTGGAAATTCCTTGACTACAAACAATCCTTCGACGAAAGATAAAACAGATTTGGAAATTCCCAACAATTCCAGTAGTAGCGAGAAAATTTGTTTTGGGAGCCTTCCAGGTGAATTTACTTGCAATATGGTGGTGGTTCTTCCTTTGTTTTTTGAGCCACAACCAAATCAGCCCAATTCAATGGAAGGAGATGTAATAGATACAAGTCCACCCATGGAAAGTCTTGGGCAGTCTAGTTCTGGGCCAACCATTATAGAACCAAATAATGGTATTTATAGAGAGGAGGTTTTTGAAGATGAAGCTGAGCATCTCCAGAAATTAAAGGGGGTTGTGATTGAAGAGAACAACCCCATGAGGCCAAAGAAAATTGTGTTGGAAAAGCCACCATATGGCATGACTCAGCAACTTAAACCTTTGTACATCAAGGTGCTAGTGGAAGGAAGGCCCTTGGCAAGAGTTCTGGTGGACAATGGTTCGGTGTTGAATGTTGTTCCAGTCAATGTTATGCGCATGCTCGGAAAGCCTCCTGAAGATATCATTCCAATTGATGTGTCCATTAGTAGATTCACGGGAGGAATAGTGAAGATGCAAGGAATCCTACCGTTGGAGTTAACGGTGGGAGATAGAACTTCCATCACAGCTTTCTTTGTTATTGAGTCCACAGCGGCTTATAATTTGCTCTTAGGCCGCGAATGGATTCACCCAAATTTTTGCATTCTATCTTCGTTCCATCAAATGATAATATTTTGGGATGGAGATGAGGTAAAAGTGGTGGAAGCTGATAGCCGGCCATTTGTGGCAAGGGTTTACCATGCAGATGCTGAGTTGTATAGTGAAGAATTCGTTCCAATCAAATTTATCGGAAAGGATAGCAAGGGCCGTCCAAGGAAGGCCACCATGAGAAGGACTCTTACGGAAGAAGATGTAAGGGAGCTTTTCTAAGAAACACCAAGGCCAACAATTCTACCCAAGGCCGGTGTTCAGCAATACATTTCAAACAAAAGTTTTTATGGAAGAGAAACCTAAAGAAAATAGAATACTTGGACAGGTGGTTAACTGCTGCCTTACCAGGTTGAAAACATATCTAGCTGAACTACGGTTGGAAAGAGCTGCTGTTGCTGGTACTTCATTTTAAACCAATGTTTTGGAGATTATGGAAGATGCTGAAGATAAGTTGAATGCTATCCAACTGACAGACTTAAAGGTAGCACCAGTGAAGTTAGATAATCTTAAGGCCGAAGTGCAAGATCCTTTGTTGGAAATCAATCTTGGAACGGAGCAAGACCCTCGGCATACCTACATCAGTAAGCTTTTGGAACCAATCTTTCGAGATGAATTGATTTCTTTACTTGAAGAATACAAAGATTGCTTTGCATGGACATATGAGGAAATGCCAGGACTTTCCAGAGAGCTGGTAGAGCATAAGTTGCCAATTAAGGAAGGTTTCAAGCCTTTCAAGCAGCCTCCAAGAAGGATGTCCCAAGAAGTTGTTCTAAAGGTCAAAGAAGAGATAGAAAGGCTACATAAGGCTAGTTTTATAAGAACCGCCAGGTATGTTGACTGGATTTCCAATACAGTTCCAGTTATTAAGAAAAATGGCAAGCTAAAGGTATGTGTGGATTTCCGGAATATCAATCTTGCAACTCCAAAAGATGAGTATCCCATGCCTGTTGCTGACCAGTTAATAGATTTTGCTGCCAAGAATGAAATTCTTTCATTCATGGATGGACATTCCAGGTACAACCAGATTTATATTGTAGAGGAAGATATTGCCAAGACAGCCTTCAGATGTCTAGGTTCCATTAGAACCTTTGAATGGGTTGTCATGCCATTTGGGTTGAAGAATGCCGGAGAAACATATCAAAGAGCCATGAATGCCATATTCCATGACATGATTGGCCATTTCTTAGAAGTCTACATTGATGATGTGGTCATCAAGTCCTCGGCTAAAGATCAACATCTCCACAATTTGAAAATGGCTTTTAAAAGGATGAGGTAGCACAAGTTGAAAATGAATCCTTTGAAGTGTGCTTTTAGGGTTTCAGCTGGAAATTTCCTAGGTTTTCTGGTCCACCAAAGGGGTATTGAGATAGATCAAAATAAAGCAAAGGCAATTATTGAAGCAAAGCCACCAGCCACTAAGAAAGAGTTGCAGCGATTCCTTGGTCAGGTTAGATATTTAAGGAGGTTTATTGCCAACCATGCTGGAAAGACTCATGCTTTCTCCCCTTTGTTGAAATTGAAAGGTGCTGAGTAATTCAAGTGGACAGAACAGCACCAGCAAGCCTTTGAAGGTTTGAAAAGCTACCTGGCCAACCCTCCAGTGCTGATGCCTCCAATCAAGAAGCGGCCTTTAAGATTATACTTATCGGCTGCCGATGAGTCCATTGGAACTCTATTAGCTCAGAATAATGAATGGGGGAAAGACCAAGCCATCTATTATCTAAGTAGGGTGCTCACTCCAGTGGAATGTAGGTATACTTCCATTGAAAAGTTGTGTCTTTCCTTATATTATGCGGCTATGAAGTTGAGAACCTATATGTTGCCAGTGGCCGTGTATATAATCTTTTAAACAGATTTGATTAAGTATATGCTTTCCAGGCCTTTGATCACTGGACGTATTGAAAAGTGGTCATTGGCCTTAATGGAGTTTTCGTTCATGTATATTCCACAAAAGGCAGTCAAAGGAAGGGCGGTAACAAAATTTCTAGCAGATCATCCATCTACTAAGATAGATTCAGAAATATGTGATGAGGTGGATAATCTCTACCTTGACTATACAACTTGGACTCTCATGTTTCATAGATTAAGCACTCATGATGGAGGTGGAGCTGGAATAGTCATCATTTCTCCGAAAGGAAGGAAAACCAAATTTTCTTTCTTCTTGGATTTTAAGTGTACAAACAACCAAGCTGAGTACGAGGCACTAATTATTGGGCTAGAGATTCTGCTAGAGCTAAAGGTGGAGAAGGTTCAGATTATTTGAGATTCCAACTTGATACTTAGCCAACTATCTGAAGAATATAGATGTCTTAACTGGCGTTTGAGGCCTTTCCACTCTTTGGCCTTAGAGTTACTTTGCCAGTTTGATGATTTCCAACTCAAATATTGGCCTAGATATTTAAATACGGAGGCTGATGATCTAACACAATTAGCCTCTCGAGTGAAAGTCCCACTGGGTGTGGAAAAAGCTCTGATCATAGTTAAAAGAAGAACTCTTCCTTCGGTAGAGTTACGGTATAAGATGGCAAGTCATTTCCAATCTGAAGAGCCAGAAAAATTCAAACCTGCCAATAAGCCATGGGAGGTTTTCAATATTGATATAGATGGATTAGATTTGGATGATTAGAGAACACCAATTATCCAATTCTTGCAAGAGCTTAGCTCCAAGGTGGACAAGAGAATTCAGCTTTTGGCACCACATTACATTTTGATTGATAGGTACCTTTACAAGAAGAGTAAAGAAGATGGACTTTTGTTAAGATGTCTCGGGAAGGATGAATCCATGAGGGTAATGACAGAATCACACCTTGGAATATGCGGAGCGCATCAAGCTGGAATCAAGATGAGATGGCTCCTTAGAAGGTACGGTTATTATTGGAAAGGCATATTAAAAGATTGCATAGAGTTTGCCAAGACTTGTACTGCATGTCAAGAACATGGCCCGATCCAAAGAGTTCCAGCTATTAATATGCAGCCGATAGTAAAAATATGGCCATTTAGAGGGTGGGCTTTGGACTTTATTGGAAAGCTAAGGCCTCCATCTTCAGATGGCCATACTCATATAGTGGTGGCAACAGATTATTTTACAAAGTGGGTGGAAGCCATTCCACTAAAGACTTGTGAGCAGTCAACGGTGATTGATTTTATTAAGAAGCACATTATACATAGGTTTGGAATTCCAGAGACTATCATCACTGATAGAGGTCTATCCTTTGTTGGAAGCAAGGTCTTGGATTATT